ATGCCACTACAAAAAAAGGACAAAAAGAATAGCAAGCAAACAGGAGCTCCTGTTTATACATAATCAGTATCTTCCCCAAGGCAGTAAACAAGCAATGTGATTGGTGTAAACAATTTGAAAAGACGTGCTTATAAGCACAGTCTTCGTCAGTGGAAAGATTTGAGTAATTCTGCTGAATGGAAAACGGCACTATCAGGTATGCTCCTCTCTCATTGCCCCCCCCCTTCACCTGACCTTTGTAAACCCTAAGCCAAAGCCAGATACCAGAATAATGGACAGACCTGAAGATATCTCAATATTACCAGTTACCATTAATTTCTCAATTGGGATTAATTGTTGTTGTTGTTTTGCCATCAAGGCACAGCTGACCTATGGTGAACCCTTATGGGGTTCTCAAGGCAAGAAACATTCAGAGATGGTTTGCCATTGCCTGCCTCCATGTTATAACCCTGGTATTCCTTGGAGGTCTCCCATCTACATACTAGCCAGGACCAACCTTGCTTAACTTCCAAGATCTGATGAGATTGGGCTATCCAGGTCAGGGCTTTGGTTTAATTACAACAGCAAACAAACATTTTGATCAGGTGACATCTGAATGCATAACCCTGCCATGCAGTAACTGATGTGATGTGAATGTAACTTAATGAGGAAGTTTTCATCTAAGGTCTCCAGTCTGTTTGTTAACTTGTACATGTTGACTTTCTTCCATCATAGAATCCAATGCAGCACAAGTATTAATTACCAGGAAGTCTTCGATCCGAGCACTGACCAGAGTTAGGTTTGCTTAGCTGCTACAAGGCTTCTGCCTTACGTGCCTTTCAGCCACACCCTGGGACAGAACCCCATTTGCTGTCATCAGCTTGTCTGAATAGGCCAGAACTGACAGAGAACTTTTCCAATCAGCAGTGTAAAACAGGTCTTGCAACAGGAGAGAATTTTCCTGATAGGTATTTCTTTCTACAGTGTTTCTATCAATCATTGCTTGGGGTAAGTTGTGCGTGTGTATGTTCTTGTGTGTGTGTAGGAACATGGCAACAACACTTGCCTATATGTGTTTATAGGAATCAGAGATGCCAGCCTCATCTCCAGACTACAGAGATATGTTCCACTGGAGACAGTGGATGCTTTGGAGGGTGGACTCTATGGCAATGTACCCCACTGAGGTTCCTGTCCTCCCCAGGTTTCATCCCCAAATCTCCAGGAATTTCACAACCTGGATATGGCAACCCTGTCCTCCATGCTGGTGACCAGAGGCAACCTGGCAACTCTTAAGAGGAATAGATGACTAGGGCCCTTTATGCATATGGGGCTATCTCTGCATAGTCAAGAACTGTGAAAAAGTAGGGTACTTGATAGTAGGGATAGAGTTGTATGCCTGTATACTTTAATGTATACAGACTATGCATATGTTCCAGTGAGTACAGGTCCATGTTGGGTTGGGAACAGATACTGCTTTCGTGGTCCTGCTCCTGAATATACCTGGAACATCTAAAAAAGGTGCTAGAAACTGTCTGAATTCTGTAGGTATGGGTAACTGGCCTGAGTTGTGTGTTTGATTAATTTGCTGTTTGTAATAGTGTTACTCATACTGACTGTTCACACCTTAGTAGTCTGTTGTCTGTGTCACTCATTGCAGTGCATGCACCTGTGTAGTGACTTCCATGGAGTACTCTTATTCCTGTATTTATTTCCCCCCCCCATTGTTTGAATAATGAGCAAGAGGTGGGGAGTGGCGCCTGCGAGCAAGAAGGATGTGGTTGCTCTGCCATCCTGTCTGACTTGCTTTGGGTGCAAAATGCCTCTTTCCCCCCTTTCTTCAATTCTGCCAAATGTTTACTGTGCAAGCAAGATCTTTTTCCTATGGAAGTGGAACAGACATCAGATCTGGCAGGCATGCGCTCTTGGGTGAGGGGGACAGTCCTTTAGAAAGTTCTCTAAATTGGATGGGAAACACAGAAGCTATAGCTGGATATGAATTTTCTATGGAAATGTGGAAAATTAAGATCAAATTAATGTACACTAAATGGCAATTTGGAATTGCCCAGTTCCTTGTGCCCTCTGATTGACTTCCAGTTGCTTATATCCACCCTAAACTCCCGGTCTTTCCATGACACAGTTTAGCCCCCTCAAGGAGATCTAGAGAGGCAGCATACAAATTCTCTAAAGAAACAGGTGTCTCTGCAGTGAAATGAAAGCACGTCTTACCAGTTTCCAAGTCAAACCTTCCCAACAGTGGTACTTTTTGCCCTTTAGGATAAATGCTTCAGACTTTTCTTGATGTGTGCCCAAATGAGGCTGCTTAAGTCAGCAGGATCCGGGGCAACTCTCTCTCCTTCACTCCTCCAAACAAAGATGGTTGGAAAGACTTCAAAGAGATGAGCTGTCTTTAGGGCTTTATATAGTACGGTAGTTGCTTTACTCACTTTTGAATAGAGCGCCAGTTGGTGCTTTCATTCTTGTTCCGCCTTCACTTGCAAATAAACAGATTTACTCAAAAATCCCATAGATTCCAGTTGTCCTTGCCAAAAGGGAAAGCTGCTTTCCAAAGTCATTAACTTTCCAATGCTCAAGTGAGAAAAGACTAACAGTCTTTTGAGGGCAAATAGGATAAGTGCCAATATGCTGGCTGTACACATTTCTGCATAGGCGATATTCACATCCATATCTTATATAGCCTAACGGGTTGTTTAATTTGTGTGGTCAAAACTCTTGATCTGGCAAGAGAACTGTCATAGCATTCAAGTCATCCTTAAAAGCTGCAGCTACTTGGCTGCTTTATGAGAAACTATCTCTTACCAGGGGTCATTTCGTAGAAAAAGAGGTGCAGGAGCTCATTAGCATAACTCATTAGCATAACTTATTTGCATATGCCACACCCCCTGACATCACCGGAAGTGTGTCAGAAGGCAACACCTACCGCTCAGGCTCCACTGGACTGTTTTGGATTGCTAGCTATGGGGGGGGGATGACGTGCAGATCTGCCCTCGCAGAGGAGGGAGAGCTTGTACCTGAATAAAACTTAGTTTTAAAGGTGCCACTGGACTGTTGGACTGGGGGGCCAGGAGGGCTCGGCAACTTACCTGGCTGCTTCTTGCTCTGACTGAGGGCTGCTGGGAGCAGGGGGTGAGGCTTGTTGCATGTGCCCACCCCCTGGGCTCTTCACTGCCGGAGCTCCGCTCCTGTGCGCTCCTGCAGGAAATGACCCCTGTCTCTTACACTAGCTTAAACCCCATTTAAATGGACATGTGGAATTCTCATGATACCATTACTACTTTTTAAAGTTCATGCAATGGACAGACGATAGCTTGGATCCTATGCAGCATGTCCTCTTTTCTGTCTTCCGCCAGTAGCCCTGAAGACCTCTGAAATACTGATGTTTGTAGCATCCATGCAGATGAAAAAACCAGGTGGCCAGGGAAGGGGGCTGCAGTGAGGAGGCTGAACCAAATGGAACTGCCCTCCCCTCCCTCTTCCTTCAGTGGTTTCTGCTGATGCAAAAAGTTCCAGTGGACTAGGAATGGTGCCAACCTTGTTTCCCTTCCTCACTGTAGGCCTCTCAAACTCTGCAACTTTTTGTCCACATGCAGCTTGCAATTTCTAGCATTAGCATTTTGGAGATCTCAGGGGGCTAACTGGGGGTGGAAGAGGGTGGGAAAGAAATTTGTTCATTCCCATCCGTATGCATGTGTTCCATGGGATACCCGCCTATAACCTCATGACATAGTATGAAATTTACTGAACATCTTATAGCAAGTAAGGTTTAATATTTTGACCCTTGACATAGGTTGCTCATTTCCATGTAGCTGATAAAAGACAACCAATTTGTTTTAAATCTATTTGTTGTCTGTTACCCCTTTCTATCCTGCCAACCTAGCAGTTCGAAAGCAAGAAATTGCAAGTGGGAAGGTAACTTTGGTGGGAAGGTGACAGCGTTCCATGCGCCTTGGTGTTTAGTCATGCTGGCCACATGACCACAGAAACGTCTTCGGACAGCGCTGGCTCTTCGGCTTTGAAACGGAGATGAGCACCGCAACCCTAGAGTCAGATTCGACTGGCTTTCGAGCAAGGGAACCTTTACCGTTACCTTTACCCCTTTCTAACACCTTTATAAAATGGTGCTTGAACCTTCATGGGTGTATCCCGTAATTCAGGAATCCATTTCTCAACAGCATCCTTTACATCTGTTGTGTCTTATTTATGACAAGGATGCTGTGAAAAGTCCTGAAAAAGTTGTCTGACTAGCTAATCCCCAGGTAACATTTCTGCACGAAAGGCTATTTGTGCCTGTTCTACAATAACTGCTTTCGGCCCTCCATCATCCATTCTTGTTCTCCACCTCCTCTTTTCCCCACTGTCTTCCCAAAATGGTTTTTGACCAAACAATTATTAACTAATCCCTCATCTTCTTTAGCTATTATTTACTGTCACATATATTTAAGGATAAAAAGCTGTTATCAACTTATAACCAACATGTTGTGCCTTGTGGTTTCTTTAATGGCTTATGTATACATTTGTGGAGAGGCAGCAATCTTTTTCCTGCTGGCCAGATATATTGCTGATGGACAGAACTATCCCACTAGGGCTGAATTCTTACATTATCCGAGCACTGAGGAAGCTTTTCCTGGCTGAGAAACGCTGGACCGTGTGGGAGGAATCCCATACTGTGGCTTCTCTCTCCTTGAACAATAGCGCAGTTTCTGGAGAACTGATGGTGGCTTGGAGGGAAACTGCAGCATAAATCCAACTCACAAGACCTGGAGCTATCCTAGAGTCCCAGAAAGGAGTGACCCCTATTTCACCATGATAACTTGGGTACCAGGCCTAGAGTATACATTGTGTATAAATGTACTGTAACTAAATACTGTGTAGTATGCTAGAGCAGTATCTATGTTTGTTTTGAGCATGTAGTATTGAGAGACATAAGTTGTTTTAATTATAGTTTGTACAGTGTATATTCACAATAATACAAGGTTATTGTTTGATTTTTCCCCTGTACACAGACTCTTGCTCCAAAGCAAATTGAGGCACTGGGAGAACTGCAGATGCCTTGCAAGTCAACGTGTTCTGCAGAAGGTAAAGGCAGCCTTGCTTGTAAATGTATCCACTAATCCAGTGTCAGTTATGCACATAACATACATTGGAGTAGCTTAGGCTTTCTGTGCAATCAGAATTTTTCAATGCATGGGCAGATCTGGTATGAAAACCTTTCATTTATAAGTATGGCTAAACTTGCTGCTTTTTAGCAGAATAGCTTTTGACAAAGGCACTGTCTTTCAACCTATCCTGTCCGCAAGATTGTTATAAGGAGAAATAAGTTCAGCATTGTAGAGTGCTTTGTACACTGGTAAAAAAATAATTCAACAAGACATCACTTAAAATACTCCTGTGGGGAAATGTTAATATGACTCAAGGTATGTGGAGTTTAGATTAGATGAAAATTCAAGCTTGATATAGATTCACACTAGTCTTATCTCCTTCTTTCTGAGATAAAAAAACAGCTCCTGGGCACATACATGTTTATCCTCTCTTCAGGCTGAGAATTAATTACTAGCTTAAGATCGCCCAGTGAATTTCATGGTAGAGAGGGGATTTGAATGTGGATCTCCCTTGCCACGCTAATCACTACACTGTACTGACTTTCATATCCACACCATAGTATAACTGAATTAAAAAAAATGTTCCCAAACTCAATAGATTTGACCCACAAATATAAGCAGTCTTCTGAGTGTAAATCATCTAACAAGTGTGGGCGGAAATGGACAAATTTCTAGTGCAGGGGTGGCCAGACTTGCTCAACGTATGAGCCACATAGATTAAACGTCAGATGTTTGAGAGCCGCAAGACATGAACAACTATTACACACACGTTTTTATTTTTAAAATATGCAAATTTGCTTTTTAGTAACATTAAATGAGACTGCCAAAAATAAAAACAAAAGGCGTAAGAGCAGATATTTATAATGATATTTGTCCAATGATATTTATTTGTTTGCTAATGATATTTATTTGTCTAAGAGGGAGAGAAAAAGATATAGAGGTGGAAAGAATGAAAGAGGTGGAGAGAGAGAGAGAGAGAGAGAGAGAGAGAGAGAGAGAGAGAGAGAGACCAAATAGATGGGGGGAGGGCGAAAGAGAGAGAAGAGGGAGAAACAAAGGAATTAAATAGATGGAGGGAGGGAAGGAAGGAGAAAAAGTATGCCTTCCCTTTGCTTCCCCAGCTGCCCTGCTGGGAGCCGCACAATATGTGTGAAAGAGTCACATGTGACTCCCGAGCCGCAGTTTGGCCACCCCTGTTCTAGAGGTACAGCTGGGAGGCAGGTCTTTCTTTGATCTCAAAGCTACCTGGCTGCTTTCTGCCATTTATGGGACTTCCACATATTACCAGCCTTTAGCGGATCTTGCAGCTGCCACTGTGATTTGTCTAGATCCCTGAGTTGGTACAAAGAATCCAGTCTGCAATTCTAAACAGAAATCAGGCTTCTATTCCTGACCATAGTAGGGTAGGTTTTAACTAGTAACCAATTATTATTTCTCCTAAAATGCCAGAAGAGGGCAGAATTCTACTGACGTTCTTTGAGTATTTTCTTTTTCATAAAGTCTAAATGATAGTGCAGTTAACAAAAGTGCTGAAATCAAAGCTTGGTTTTGAAGGTTTTATCTTTTTAAACTTCGACATTCATAATTTAATAAGTTTTTTTCCCTGTCAGCATTGGCTCTTTTAAGGCTTTACCTCATTGTGCTATGGTGAGAAAGCAATCCAGAATAGCAGCCTTGCTCAAGGCTAAGCAGGTCTGGGCCTAGTTGATGCCTGCCTGGACAGGAAAACTTCCTGAGAATCCCATGCAAACTGCTTTAAGTTTTTGATGGCTGGGTCTAAGCCAAGTGGCCTCTGCAGGGCTTGCTGGTGGCTACTAGTGGCTCCTCTCCTCCCCAAACTCCATCTCCAAATTTCAAGGAATTTCCCAACCTGGATCTGGCAACCCTACTCACCCATCCCCTGCCAGTGGCCAGGAGGGACCTGGCAACCCTCCCTCCAGGCCAGCACCTCTCCAGGAACTTTCTTGGTATGTTAAAGGGCCAGTCTGTCTCTAATAACATAAACAAGACAATACAAAGCCCAATTTTTAAAAAGCAAATAAATTCATATGTGTTTATTTAAAACATTTTAAAGCTGCCTTTCCACCCTACTTCGGGTCCCCAAGACAGCTAACAATATATATAGCCATTAAAACAAAACATATATGCACTTGAAAGGGAAGGAGGGTCAGTGATAATTAATCAGGGAACCCAGGACAAAATATAAAAGTCTTCAACTGCTGGTGGAAGAGAAAGGGACAGACATATCTTCATGGGTGAGGGAGAGGGAACTCCATAGTTTTGGTGCCATGAGTGGCAGGGCTCTTTCTTGGGTTACCATCTCTCTACTTTCAGATGATAGGGTCATCGGAAGCAGCACCTTTGAAGATGACCATAGTGGTTGGGAACACTTACCAGAAACTCAACTGGCACCAAGTTCACAAGGTTTTAGATGTCATGGGAAGACATCTTTATTCTCATGGGCTGCTTGGATTCCTATTTCCCATGGGTGCTTTATGAGTTGCTTTATTAGATTATTTGGCTTTTGTCATATTATTGTTTTTAATTTTGTCTGATGCAGTGTTAAGTTATTTTATTGTATTTTTCTCCTGTGTTTTGCTGCTATTTTAATCCTTTTATTTCCCCCCAAAAAATGATTTACTGATTTTAGATGTTTTATTCTTCTTAGCCACATCATACGTTTTTGCTCATAAGGTCAGGCTATAATATTTTAAATAAATGACTGAAATGTTTTAATGTCCTTCCAAAGCAAAATAACGTATATGAAAATACAAGCAGAAACTGCTGGTCAAATGATGCTCAGAAAGTAGTTTGCTATATTGTGTCAGTGAACTGGTC